GACTACGATTTTGTACGTATCGCTTGTGGAGTTGTGGGTGGTGTTGGGGGGAAGGGAGGGAGACGTAGAGGAAGAGATGGGGTGTTTGATGTTTTGTCGACTGACGTTTGGGGCAGAGAATGGGAGGGGGTTCGGTTGATGACGGATCCGGTATCCCCATCCCCATCCCCATCCCCACCCCTATCCCTTACTACGATTCTTGGAGGGTTTTGTTTTCGCTAGACGGGAGGGAGAGAGAGACACGACTTCTGAGCGCACGTACAGAATTTCCTCCACGCAGGCGATCACGTCCATCTCGGGCCCGGGGTCACGGGCACCCGTCGTACCAACCCGGCGGTCGACCTGCATGACCTGCCGCGGATCGATCTGATCTGTCTGTCCCATTATCACGCGTGTGTCTTCCTTCCCCCCCTTCCCCCCAAACATGCCCACCTTAACTTCCACTTTCCTAATGCCCGAGACCCTATTTCCATCATCATCGGTCCGGTCACAATCCCCATTCTGCAAGAAATGGATGGATAGACCTGACGCTCATTCCGGGGGGGTGAAACAGCGACCATTTCGACCAGCACGTCGAAGCATCCCTCCGCCGCGGTAAGCTTGTCTCCTAGAATCCGTCTTTCTTCGAGATGCACCACATCACCGATTCCGTCCCCCCACCCACTCGATCCATTCAACCTCCATCGCAACACCCACACTGACCCACCCTCCCCGCGACCCCCCCCAGACCTCCCCATCATCACGACCCCGCACGCCAAATCGCACCTCGCTTCCGCCTCCAAGGACCCCGGCGAAGCCTTCACCGCGGTGCACGACCTCGACTTCTTCGACGAATGCCTCGTCGGCATCGCCGGCAAGGAGGCCGCGATCAAAGTGACGGGGATGCCGGGGAAGCACGTCCCGCCCGGTCCGGGGGGCGTGGCCGGGAAGATGAACGATCTGTTGGGCGCGGTGAGTGCGCCCGCCACCGTTTCCGATTCCCTTCCTCCCGGTGTGCGGATTGGGATGAGCGGCGTTGGTTGACGAAGGGAGTTCAGGTGCCCCCCACGAACGGCTGGATGCTCGAACTCGGCCACGGCTCCTCCGAGTCTGCCTTCCGCCCCGGCTACCGCATCTACGTCTCCGGCGACACCCTCCTCGTCCCCGAGCTCGCCGAGATCCCGACCCGCTACCCCCACGTCGACCTCATGCTCGTCCATCTCGGCGGCACCACCATCCCTTCCCCGAGCGTGCCCTTGCTCATGGTCACCATGGACGCCGAGCAAGGCGTCAAGTTGGTGCAGATGATCGGGCCGGATCTGACGATTCCGATTCATTATGAGTGAGTTGGGAGTTTCATTCACCTTTCCTTTGCGGTGTCAGCGTTTTCATGTCTGGTTGAGGCAGGGAATGAGGTCTTGGCCAGTTGTGACGGGTAGAGGAAGTTGACGGATCGTAACTCCGTGAATTGTTTGGCTTGTGGGTGAACAGCTTGCTGAGAGTAATGTAGTGACTACGATGTCTTCCTCTCGCCGCTGTCGGATTTCAAGAAGGCGATGGAGGAAGCGGGGCTGGGAGATAAGGTGGTTTACCTGGACCGGAAGGACGCCTATCGATTCAGAGTAAAGGATTAAAGCTGGGTAAGGTATGGTAAGCTGCGTGATTAGCACTTCTAGAGGTAACCAACATCACGAAACTGCAGCAATGTAGAAAGGTAGATGTTTGACAAGGAGGGTAGCACCTCAGTGCTATGATGAAGATACCAATTCTTTTGCCTAGCACCTCAGTGCTATGACGAAGATACCATTTCTTTTGCCTGTCACCTCATTCCTAATGATAAGCCAAGCATCGATGAGCCATAAGAGCATGAAGCTCTAAGCCCCAGCCATGACGGCTTCTAAAGGCCTGCGACATCAAGGATACCGTTACCATCTTCAACCATCCAACGCCTTCGCTGAAACGATCATGGACCATTCGGACGCGACAAGCTAGGTGCCAGTTGCTTATACTGTAGCTCAAAGTTTGATACCTTTACCCATTATCAGCGTCTATCAAATAACTCTGGGCAGCAGTCCGGTTACGCACCCTGACCTTCTCCCACGCCATTTGATTGAAGAACACGTAGCTCCCTTGCTCCTTCTCGACACTCATCTGTATCGGCTCAGGTAGAGTGATGTCTTTCGTGAGCCACATTTTGAGGTCGGTATGGAACCTCCAATTGCGGTTCGTTCTTGAAATCGGGTCAGTGAGAAATTCTTGGTCACGCGTATTAAACATACAGTTCAGTGGCAGCAAATTCCTGTATGATGTCTCGCGGTTGGGTGTAGAAAATCCAAAAGAGTGTCTCATCGGAAAAGTGTGGTATTTTCTCCCTCACATGGTGGATGTTGTCGACAGTGTAACATTCGGGTAATCGGAAGTCTGGCTGCATCGGTCTTGAGCCTGGATCCGCGAAAGGTCCGGCGAAAGTGGGATAAAGAGGTCTGCATAGCCTCATCAGCTTCGCGAAAATACCTGTCTAGCTGGTGGTGATGACACACTCTGCAGAATTAAGATTGAGGCCAAGAGTGGTCAAGTCCTGACCTCTCGCGAGATAAGAGACCTCTGGATGATCATTGCTGATTGTGCTCAGAAACCCTGGTAGGCCAAATTCATCAATTGCACTCATCTGTGATAATGGTGTTCGATCTGGCGTATGGTTCGATCGAGATGAGTCGCCTGTCCTAGCCCCATAATCTTGCCGCCCCTGCGGGGGCTGCTGCGGCTGGCTTGTCTGCCGTTGAGGTGGGAATTGTGAATCGTTGAAACTGGTTAGTAATGCATTCAAAGCGTGCTCGTTCCGAGTATTGCCCTGCGTTGTCGATATAATCTATCTGGCTGGTCAGACGATACGATGCAGCTTAAAGCATCAATCAATTTGCTTACATTTCTGTCATGGTCCTGCATCCCAGCTTGGCCTTGACGATTCGACTCGATCGGTGACCGTCCAGTGGAAGAGGCTAATTAATAGTCAATGGGATTTGTGTAGACTGCCTGGATGTCTCGTCATCATTACCTCCAAACCCCACGCCATTGGGGGACGTAAGTCTTTCCACCATCGAGGAAGATCGTGTGTTGTTCGCTTGACTGCTTGAGGCGCTTGGTAAGCCGTGGCGTGTTTGTATCTGATCTTGCGGCAATGAGAAAGTATTGGCGTTTGAGAATCCGCCGAAACCTGCATTCTGCATCAGGTTCCTTCGATCGCTGTCGCTTTCATCGGTACCATTTCTACCCAGAGGCGGAAAGTCATCGACACTAGTTGGCTGAGGCTGGCGAGATACCGGCATTTGACCAATTCCACTCTGGCCACCGTAGCGATGATCATCCAGCGAATTTTGCAAATTGGATGACGCAGAGTACATGTCATCATTCCCTCTCTGAGACTGATCCTGACTTTGCTGATTTGGCTGATGCTGTTGCTGTGCTTGCGAGCTTACTGGATGTGATTGTTGCGGACGCTGGACAGGAGTCTGTTGAGCGACTCGTTGATTTGCCCATATAGCTTGGCTTGTGTTTTGGTATTGAGGTTGAGATGTGCCAGATAAAGAAGGAAATTCGCTATTAAGACGACATAGCTAAATCAGCACGATTCAGACTGCGTCCATGTCCACTAGTCTCTAGAACATAGCAAGCAGTGTAGATGGGCCAAATACTTACGATAGGTCTAGAGGTGCCGCGGGTTGAGAACCGCCGACTCTCTGCGCAAAGCTTGATGTGGCTACGCCTGTCTGGCTCGGTTGGACGCTGGGTAGTCCTGGCGCGCCATTTGCAGGTGCTCCAAAACCCCAGTTCGTGCCGTTACCTAACAAGCTCAAAAAGCGTCAGCGTTCCGTTGTACAGCGCGAGGTGCAAGGATTTCAAATTGCACCTAGTTTTGTAGTATTTTGCAATCTTCCCGAGCCTAATGGCGTATTTCGATTCTGGGGTGCTGGTTGCGCGGGGTAACCCCCATATCGCAGGTTCTGCGCATTTGGACGCATGTTCTCTGATGGCCATTCGTCAGCCTTTTGCTCTTCTTGGGCCCGTTGAATTTCATAGATTTCTTCCGTGTGTTCGCTAGTCGTAGGTGAATGTAACTGCGGAGGGGCCGCATCCTCGTGTTGATCCTCAGGAGGGGAGGGGGTTTGGGGAGCGGTTGCAGGGTCGTCAGGGGATGCGTCCGTCATTTGGTGGTCCAGAGAGGTGGGAGTTTCCAAAGCATTTTCAAAGGCTACAGGAATCATTCCCTCTCCAGCAAATTCAGGACTGGCCTCATCTTCACCCGCAACGTCTTGAGCCTGCTGCTGGACCTCCGTAGGACTTGATTTAACGGATTCCTGCTCCCCCGACCACTCCACATAGCGGATAGCATTCCTCCTCTTGGACTTCTTTGACGTTCTGGCGCTCCCAATTTTCTTTTTGGGCGAAGGGTACCCTTCGTCCACAGAGTATCCAGGCATATTCAGACCGCTGCCCAAGATCCGTGTGGGATAAAAGCTGTTGTAGGTACTGCTCCGGTGGCCAGGAAAGATACAGTAGATATAGAGATGGTGTCTTACCTTGTCGATTCATGGCTGCCAAAGATCTTTTCTATCACTTTTCTTGAATGTTCCTGCCTCGCCAAAAAGAGAACTCGGGTTGCCATGTTCAGGCGCGCTTGCCGCGTCTATCGGATTTTTGATGTTCCGAACCGTGGCTGGCTTCCAAAGCTTCAATTCACTTTTTGCTCATAATCAGCATCGTATCCGTTGCGAAACAGAATGTCAGGCCGTTCATTGACACGTCAGCTTCCAATCTTACGAAAAGTCTCTGGCCTCTCACGAGAATTGCACCCTCCCATTTTCCTTGCGCCGTTGCTAGATTCGATCCCCCAACCTTTACATCAACGATCCTCATTCTCAACAACAGCGACTCTCTCTGTGCGCGCGAACAAGAAACGTGATGGCAATCCGCATAGAGGTGAATCAGCTCTACGAAGAACCGGCCTCAGGTATCCAAACGGCATGTCGAAGCAGCCGCTCCCACAACCTGTGCTGGATCCGACGAAGAGATCAAAGATCCCAGTCGATTCGAACCACGGGCTCTGGGGTTTCTTCAATAAGAACCGAAAGGCATTGAGTACACGAGAAGATGTAATTGGGACTGGTATGCTAGGTCCCCAAGTTCAATTTAACCGACTAATTGGTGCAGGTCGCCCCTGGACTGTTGAAGAACTACGGCATAAGTCCTGGGAAGATCTACATTCGCTATGGTACATATGCTGTAAGGAACGAAACAGACTTGCCACAGAATACAAGGAACGAAAACGACTGCAATTCGTACCCCAACATGAGGGGGCAAGAAAGCGTGATATGACGGTAAGGGTCTCCAGCGACACAGACTGCCTTCGATCTACGCGTAAGATTCCAAGCTTGTCTTGATGTCAAGGCTGACCTCCGTGATTCGGTCAGATTCGGCAAACACAAGCCAAGATAAAGCACACCCTTACCGAACGCTGGTATGCGTGGGAGGAGGCGCGGAAGGTGGCCGAGGACGACCCTGAAGTCAACCTTAAAGCTGATCTAGACACTCCAGCATATCGGCCAAGATCTTTCGAGGTACGCAATTGCTGTGGTGTTTCTACGAATCACACATGCTGACTGAGCTCAGGATGAAGAGGAGGTTGACGAACAGCCTCGAGCTGCAGCTGCAGCTGGACCCGCATAGTGGATGTACATTATCCACCGCATTGTGAAATAGCATGATGGCGAGAGCTTTGAGCGCTAGCATGTCGAGCTCAATCTCTTACCGTTGAGAAAGATGCGCAACATCGCCATGACATGACATGCACCGCAATATGTAATAGGCTCCTCGTCCCGTCAATGAACATGAGCCTCTCGGTTTGAGTCAGCTCATGGTGTTGCGTTCGCAATGCCAAGTGCCAGTCCGCTGGTCGATTTAATTCTACGAGATGTACAATGTCATTTTCATCAAAGGTAACATCTCTGTCCGCTGTCGATGCATCTTTGGTCAACCTTCCATCAGAGGTTTGATGTTGCCCTTGAAAGCTTACCTCATCCATTGCACTTGCCCTCGATGACCTGTACCGTGTATGTGGAGTAATTAAAACTACGAATCTCAAAGGCAGAAGAACAACCGTCCCCTATCATATCTTCTGAAAGGACCCTTTGGCACTATACACACGGTGAGGTCAAGGGTACTACGAAGCCTGATTTACAATCGTTTCGTTGCTGTGATCAGGCGGACAAAGGAATGCGACGGGTCCCCTGTCCTACTTGCTCGATTAGCAGCGACCCAAACCAAAAAGAACTAGCAGCCACCTTGGCCGGCGAAATATCTTCAATTCGCTGCCTACTTGCATCCTCTTGAGAATACCGCGGTCGACACCAATGTATGCTCCGTCAGCGACCTAAGCCGTCCTTTGTTATCTGCAACCTCGCATAAGCCCTGTAATCTCTAGTCGGGCACTGAGGATTGCCCTCCTGCTCTCACCTCGTGAACTGATAAGTAGCAGCCGCCTTCATTACCATCGGCGAGCGGAATCCGCTGGAAGCTTCCTAGACGGTAGCCTTCAAGTACTTCTCAGCCGCCATTTAACCATCTGCAAGGACATTTCAGACCACAGAATCTAGGTTCCAGGTCTTCGTCAGGATTGTCAAAATCCATGTTCGGTGTTATAATAGGTATCCTGAAAATCCAGCTAGACAGAGGTCAATCGCTCTTCGAGGAGTGCAAAAGGACACCTTTTCAGTTCGATCGGAAGTCGTACACGCTTGGAAGAAGTGGGTCACAACAGACAGAGAGACTGCTAATACCCTGTAAGATTTTTCCGTCATTCTTGTAGTCACTGAACATATTACCGAATCATCGGTAAGGTAGATAGTGCGTGCGGAGGGGGAGCAGTGGTCCGATGGCCGCCAAGATCCGGGCTTGGCGCTCACAGACTCCGACGCATGTGTTCCGCGTTCCGCCCACCGCTTGAGGGAGGCGTCATCCAGTCTGCCCTTAGTGCTACGACGTCTACTCAAGTTTCCTATTTTTCAGAGACTGTTCGATTGACTTTTAGTTCTCTATAAATCTTTGACTGCAAAGATGGATGAGGTTGCTCCAGAATATGACGTGGTTGTGCTTGGAACAGGTCAAGGGCGCCCCACTTTAGCAGCGGACGCAGGGTACTGACAGAATACCAGGTTTGACAGAATGCGTGCTTTCAGGGTACGCCAGAGGCCTTGTATGTAGTTCATAGCTGCTGCTGACTATCATCACAGTGTTATGAGCGTGAAGGGAAAGAAAGTGCTACACATTGATAGGAATGACCACTATGGCGGGTGCGTTAGTTTCTGTTGCTTCGGAGGCGACTGCTGACGAAAACTAGAGAATCTGCCTCCTTGAATATCGAAGCTGTACGTACGACAGCGGACTGCATTTACCCCTTTCTGAGACACAACAGCTTTTCAAAAGATACGGCAATTACAACCAAGGCGAGGAGCCATGGAAGAAATATGGCCGAGTAAACGACTGGAACGTGGATTTGGTACCGAAACTCCTCATGTCGAATGGTGAATTGACGAACATCTTGGTGTCGACGGACGTCACGAGATACCTCGAATTCAAGCAGATTGCGGGGAGCTATGTTCAACAAGGGAGTGGGACAAGGGCAACGGTGGCGAAGGTTCCATCAGATGCAGGCGAAGCCCTGCGGTCACCCTTGATGGGCCTCTTCGAGAAGAGGAGGGCAAAAAGATTTCTCGAGTGGGTTGGAGCCTTCAAGGAGGACGATCCGTCGACGTACGGAGGTAGGGAGGAATGCTGTCGCTTAATGAGTAGGGCATACCGTTGACTGGATCTGCAGGCCTCGACCTGAATCGGTGTACGATGAAGGAGGTCTACGACAAATTTGGCCTCGAAGCAACCACGCGCGACTTTATCGGCCACTCAATGGCTCTGTACCAGACAGATGAATACATCAACCAGAAAGGCGCTGCCAAAGAGACGGTTGTTAGAATACGGCTTTATGCCAACTCGATGGCCCGGTATGGGAAGTCTCCTTACATTTACCCTCTCTACGGTCTCGGCGAGCTGCCGCAAGGCTTCGCACGTCTGTCAGCCATCTACGGTGGAACTTACATGCTTAATACGAACATCGATGAGGTCGAATACGAGGGTGGGAAAGTGTCAGGCATCAAAGCGACGATGCGCGAAAGAAGCGAGGATAGCGAAGGCATGAAGTTCTCGACAAAAACCACGAAAATCATCGCAGATCCATCGTACTTCCCCGGCAAGGTCCAGGTCATAGCACATCTGCTGAAGGCTATCTGCATCCTCACGCATCCGGTAGCAAACACAGAGAACAGTGACTCTGCACAGCTTATCATTCCACAGTCACAGGTCGGCCGAAGGAACGGTAGGCTTACTTCCTAATCTTACACACCTTGCACTTCTCTGACGGTTACAGATATATACATCGCCATTGTGTCTTCAGCGCACAATGTCTGTCCTAAAGGCTACTACATCGCTATCGTCTCCACCATCGCAGAGGGTTCAAGCAACCACCACCTTGAGTTGCAACCTGGGTTTGACAGGTTAGGAAAGATTGAGGAGAAGTTCATGGGCGCACCGATACCGCTCTACGAGCCTTTGGAGAGCGGAAGGAACGATAACATATTCATTTCGAAGAGCTACGACGCCACTAGCCATTTCGAGACGACTACAGGTATATGAATCCCGTTTCCACGTGGGTACGCGCATACTGACTGTCTGGCAGACGACGTGAGAGATATTTACAGGCGGGCAGAGCAAGAGGAACTGGTCGTAGAAGGCTTGCGGGAAGGCGACAATCTTGTTGGACAGGAGTAGGGAACGATAGGTTTCGCAGAATGTAATGTCTGCATCCGCCCTGTTCCGGAAACACAGATGCACTTGCAGATCGGCATTGGGGCGTTGGTCTTGGTTTCCATCTTGAAACCTCCTCTACTAGCATGCCAGACTGATTGGCAGATTGGGACTTTCCCACTCGGCTCATTGGTTGAGGCCAATCCACCTGCATTCACCTACTTTTGCTCCTACTTTTCAATCTTCGACCATCAACCGCGTGTCCTAACCTCATCGGATTAGGGCTTTTATTCTATTTCTCACGAGTTTACGCTGACCGGCCATTGTCTTTGGCCTCAATCCAGTTATCAGCCCGTGATTCCATTATACAAATCTCATTGTCACCTCACATCGCTCATTGTCGATCCGGTTCACCCATTTCCCTTACAAGAGGTCCACCTCACTTCCGTATTTTACAGTCTGATCCATGAGCTCAAAGGCTCAGGCCAGTCTTCGGAATCCTCGGCCAGCGTTTCATGTTTTTCCAAGCTCGTTGAAGGATTCAGGAATCAAAACATCTTGTGTCAGTGATCTCAGTCCACCAAATATTCCCTATACTGACGGCTGAAGCTAAATTGAGTCCCTCACCGCAGCTTCTCAGTCTCATCACTTGACCCAGCGTCCTTATTGGTCGCAGCCTTTCCTCCATTCCTTCTAGAACTCCACCTCGAATTCAACGCGCCAGAGCTCCGCGGCGCCAGCAAAGATGGCAGGTACTTCAAACGATGATCTTTCACTGTACTGTCACCCTGCGCTTTCCATTCCTATATCGGCTAACAAATCTGAAAAGCTATCTGAGTGGCGATGTGATCAAGGTCTATGTTGGGCCAAAAAGAAAACGCTACAGCGTCCACAAAGCCCTTCTGACCCAGTATGAATGGTTCCGCAACAAAATCAACTATTTTACCGTCACGTTTCCCCTCCATGATCTTCTCGCCGAGGACCCCAAAGTTTTCGAGCTTCTGATCGGCTGGCTCTACCGCAATAATCTGAATGCGATCTCTACCACCGACGAGGAGGTCGCTGAGAAAGAGGTGGCACTTAGCGTCGACCTGTACCTCCGAGCATGCGAATGGGACATGCCCGAACTGCAAAACGCGCTCATGGACCGGATGAGAATTCGAACAACTTGTGAATATGGATTTTTCCCACGAAAGCTCATCAAGACAATCTACGAGAGCACAGAATCCCTGTCACCTCTGCGTTCTTACATCGTCGACAGCTTCATCTACAAGGGCATTCAATGGGATGAAGATGCCGAGATTGAAGACCCGATCGATGAACATTTCTTCCTGACCCGCAAAAGTGCGCTCAAAACCCAACTGGACGCCGGGAATCAGGAATTCGTGCTCGATTGCTACGAAGCATTGTTCCAGCTCTGCGCGAAGTCTAAGATTCGAGATCCGGATCGCGGGACCGGCTGCGTCTATCACGCGCACAAGAGGGGGGGGAGAAGTGCCGGAGATGAGCGAGCAAAGGGACGCTTGGGGCGCAACGGCAATCACTTCAACGGAGGGTCTCAAGCGACGGTGCCAATTGCGCATGCACACCGGGAGTTCAGGCATTCAAGGAAGGCACTTCCCTCTGGAAGGGTGGTCTGAGATCGGGGCAAAGGTCACGCTTTGGCGTCTTGAGAGGAGGATGCCTATCAGCTCAGACAGCTGATGAGATCTTGTCTTCTCATGGTTGGTTCCAAGAGGGATGATAGTCTATATGCCTAATCAGTCCGCGAAAAAACTGTCCTCATCCACGAATTCCTAGTATTGTTGAACCCGTGATACTCTGCCAGTCTCGTCCGCAACGGGTCCGATGGAGTATAGACGGTAAGGCAGATTGCACACCCCGGCACATTTTGCAAGCTTGACACAGAGCTCGTCTACACGAATGAACATCCTATGAGTGAATCTCGTCCAGACGGAACCTTATCCATATTACAGCACTACCCTCTTCTGCCATACATGTCAAATCGAGACAACACGTCCTAAGTTCTGCATCCTTCCTTTTGCCATAGAGCTCGAACGATATGAACCTTCGCGCGCCAACACCCCTACTTGGAATCCATCCACGCTCACATGGTTAACTTCCCCTTCCTCCCTTGTAACCAACTCAAACGCAGACAGCTTCCCCGACTTTTGCTTCGGCACGAACCTATGTATGAATGTATGAATGAATGAATGGACATTTCCTAACCAACAACCCTCCTCATGCGTCAGTCAGATGGCAGCTTACCCATCCCTTCCTCCCTGTGATGCCGAATGCAGCCATTACTCCTCATGAACCACTCGAATGGCTTTTGGGGGGGGGGCGTCTCATCTCGCAAAGACGAGTCCTAGCGGTCCGATCCCTGCTCCGAAACCATCGATGTCGATACGCGATAGCGCGTGAGAAAGGGGGTTTCCGAATCGCACACACAGACCGCGTGATTCTCCCCGTTCCGTGACTCCGTGAAGTGGAAAGGAAGGCTTGTGGTTTTTTTTCGGTCCGGATGTTAAGATCATCCCCCTCGTTCGATTTCGATCATTTCGCTGCGGTAGGACCGGTCGTGGTGGCAGACTACGTCTTCTCCGGTTCCGGGTGTTTGATTTCATGGTGATCTGTACGTAGGTATGTGGCCTCGGGATAGAAGGGGAGGGTAGAGGGTGGTTATAGAGCGGACGTGTTGGAAACCCTCTTGGATGGACGCGCTTGCTCGTCACCCGTCCACGATGGAAAAGCCTTTGCGCGGTGACGGGTTCTCCTTTCATCATTCGTTCGTCTGTTCGTTATTTCTTGGATACGGGAAAGCTGTTGGAATCGGGGTCTTGCCCACTTTTACTGAAGGGCCGGTCCTGGGCATCAGTGGTGGAGAATGATTGACTGTGTGGGAGGGAGTATGTGGTCGTAAGGGCGGTGCTCGGGCTATGTGGTAGAAGGCGTCTTGTCTATTGTGTAGTCAATCAAGGCACCAGTGTACGTACGATTGATTCTCGGAGTTCATATATCTCGGTTCTCGTGGTTGTTCCCCGTGATGGGTATGAAATCCGAAGTGAGTCTTGGATATCGAGAAAAATGCTTGATTGAGTTGATTGAGAAGAGAGACCTCTGCTTGTAAAGACGAATGACTATGGTACAATGCCGCTGTAAACGCCCGCTTTGTGGGGTATCTCGACGCTATGCTTTCGGAAAATGGAAGGGCTGTTGCCCGTGCTGATGGAGAAACATACTGCCAACTATCACTCCTTCTCTGCCTTCTTCTCCGTATCGTCGTGAATAGCGGTGACCACTGAAGCGGTATCATCCCCGTCATCTTCAGGCGTATCTCCGCTATCCTCTCCTTCCTTCACCATCCCCGCAATGTTCTCCTCCTTCATTGCATCCCCGACAGCCGTTCCGCTCCCCGCAGATCCTGGCACACCATCCTTCTTCTCCGCCGCATTAGAAATCTGAGCCAGTGGCCCAGCCTTCTCTTTGACAGGCGACTCCGACTCATCTTCCTCGCCTTCGGCAATAGTACCGACAGCCGAACCAACAGAAGGTGTGTTCTTATGACGTCTCGTAGTCGCGCCCGCGATCTGAAGAGCGGTAGCATCCTCCTCACCCTCCTCATCGCCTGTCTTCTTCATCCCAGCCTTCTCTTGACGATCGTGCTCTATCTCCTCTTTGGATGGCAACCCCTCGGCCTCAGGCGGGATGGTGTAATTGTCCTCTTGGATGAGCCCGTAAACATCGCAGACGGTCTTGAATAGCGTGTAGATCCCTCCACTTGCCTCAACGGGCCAGAACACGCCCTCACGATGCTGGAACCATGCATGGGCAAAGATGCGGTAGACGCGCCTCATGATGTTCGTGATGTTGCGTACAGCGGTCTGATGGCCAGGACTGTCTGGCGGACCAAGCGTCATACGACTTGGAAAAAGCTTGACGGAGGTGAGTATGTCACCTGCCCAGTCGAGAGTGTGGATGCAGTAGTCGACCGCGCAGCAGGCTTTGGGTGTATCATGTACAGCGCACAGGTATTGCCACTCTGATGCACGCATCTCGGGACATGAGGCTGCTGAGCAGGCTGGGTCGATCTTGGTCAGGAGTGCGACGAGGAGATCGTTGGCGTGCTGGGTAAGGAAGCGAGTGAGTTCGTAGAGCCAGAGCGAGCGGTCGATGTTGGGAGGTGGGGTGGCTATGAGCAAGGCTGTTTCGTGGGTGAGGGACACGGTTGCTGTGGGATCAGTTTTGGAGCGGGTGTGCTCGTAGTGAAGTGCTTTGAGGTGCTCCTGCAGCTGAAAGGGCGAATCGAGCTGTGTACTGATTAGACGCGTAATTCTGGACGGAGTCACGTCTAACAAGATCGCAGTAAATGGGCTTACTTGATTCAGGGGGACCAAAGGTGGACCGGATGCCATATCGGCCGCCTTTGTGCCAGGGCGGATCCTCCTCGTTGCTCCTTGATCGAGCTTTGCCGTGTCTTCAGGTTCTGGGATCGTAGGTCCGGGTTCACCGATCATTGCAGGTGATTGGGGTCCAGCGATCTGAACTTCAGGAGCAGGTGGAGGGCTGTAAGCTCGTGGTGAGCTCGAAGGTGATGGGGAGGTGACCATTCTGCCGGTGTCTCTCTCGAAGATTCTTTTTTTTATATGTTTTTGATAGTGCTTGCGCGGAGTAGTGACTGGTGAGATTGATAGTGTATGTAGACACTCCCCTGAGCAATCAGTTGCTGGCTTGCTGCACCAAGCGCATTTTGGGTTGTCTTGAAGGGAACGCTGAACTGGTGTTGCTTGGTTTGAAGTTCCGGAGGCAGGTTCCTCCGCTCCGTGATGATCGACAGGGTCGTTTGTTTGTCCAATCGGTGGGCTCTCAGGTGCGGCGCCTGCCGGCTTGGCATCAGACGCCATTCTTTGGAGTGAGCAAATGTCTTGTAGGATGATAGTGCACGGTCTGCAAGCAAGAAAAGCAATCAATTTTGTTGTGGGATGATGTTTGTAGATGAAGAAGAACCACCAAATTTGGTGGATGTGACTCATCCTAGTGCCTCGGCAGTGGCAAACCCCATAACTTCACGACTGCAGGACATCTCTCTGGCTAAGGTCCCTTTGACTATCGTTACTGGTTACCTTGGGGCAGGCAAGACTACACTGGTCAACTACATCCTTAAGGAGCAACACGGGAAGAAGATTGCAGTCATCTTGAACGGCTTGTATACACCTCGAGGCCCTTGCTCAGTGCCATTGCATTGCTAATGCTGAGTAGAGTTCGGTGATTGTAAGCTTCCCTTAATGAGTAAAGTTATCGGGTTCTCCTAATATAATCTCCGTACAGCCGCCGATGTCGAGAAAGCCCTCACAGTCACCCAAGACGGCCAAGAAACGCAAGAATGGCTCGAATTGGCCAATGGCTGCATCTGCTGCTCTATCAAAGACTCCGGTGTCAATGCAATCGAGTCCCTTATGGCTCGCAGAGGCACCTTTGACTACATCCTCCTCGAAACGTCTGGTCTCGCTGACCCTGGCAATCTTGCTCCCCTCTTTTGGGTTGATGATGGCCTGGGTAGCACGATATACCTGGATGGTATCGTCACGCTTGTTGATGCAAAGAACATAGTCCTGAGCCTGGACGAGATGCCGGTGGAAGGAAAGGGCGATGCAGAGCATGAAGGGATGCATATGACCACTGCACACCTGCAGATCTCCCACGCTGATGTGATCGTTATCAACAAATGCGATAGCGTGACGCCTGAACAGTTGGGGACGGTCGAAAAAAGGATAGCAGGGATCAACGGGCTAGCAAAGATCCATAGGACGCAGTATAGCCAGGTGCCGAAGCTCGAAAGCTTTCTGCTCGACTTGCATGCGTATGATGGGGTGGAGTCTCTAGATGCAATGAGCAAGGGACACAGCCATCTGGATCCTGTAAATCGCCCCCCTCTCTTCTAAGACTTCTGAACTTGAGGCATCCCGATCTCTGTACTAAAAAGCCCCGTGCACGCAGACAATCTCAACAATAGCCCTCCCCCTTCCCCCTCTCACGCCCCGCCAGCTCTCATCGCTCGAATCCTGGCTCCGCTCCGTCCTCTGGGAATCCATCCTCCCGGTTGTCCCGATACCTGGCCGCGATTCCAGATCAGAATCCGCATTCGCGATCCACAGACTCAAAGGCCGCATCTTCACCACCACCGACGCCGTCAAGATGATACAGGGCGTGAGGGAGGTATTTGAGATTGTGGATCTGGACCGAGGCAGGAGTGACGGTAAGGGTATGGAGAGTAAGGAGGAGGGGAAGTTGGTACTTATTGGGAGGGGCTTGGATGAGGATGCGTTCGGGAGGAGCTTGCGAGCCCGTTTGGAAGCTGCTTGAAGGTGTGGGAGGTAGATAGATTAGCCAACTCTCATGCATGATGTTGTTGTGTCCAGTCGTGTAGCTAATTTTGGAGTCACGAGACAAGTGGCGCGATACAGAGTAGCTGTACACATATATTACATATACAGATGAGGGATGAAGGGAAACGGTTCAATAAACTCGCCCCACAACTCTAGATGTATGACACATGCAGCATAGACATTTCGCGGTGTGGTCATGTTATTAAGTATTTCGGATCAAAGCCAGGAGTCTATGTCGCTAACTCGCAGGAGCAAGGCCACTGGAGTTGGCTTCTATGTACAAGAAAAACCATCTCATCTACAGAGACATCCGTCTCAAGCATAAGCATCCTCCGCTTCGAACTGAATCGAGTACCTATCTATGTCGTATCGTCTCATTTCAAGCCGAGCTAGCTCCAAACGCCTTGCAAAAAGTAATGTGTAGGTCGAAATTGTTCGTAGGGCGCATGTCTTTGGTAGGGCAGGCGTCAAGCAACTTACGCGGCTCCTGCTGTGGCGACGGGCTCCGCGATCTTGGTGACCTGGCTGCCGGCACGGATGATCTTCTGACCCTGACCGTCCTTGTCGAATTGAACGTCCTTGTTCTCTCTTTGCGCTCGCTTCCAGATCTCAACTTCGCAGCCACCACGGATGACACCGACTCTCATTGTGGAGAGGAGGTTGTGGGCAGCGTTAGAGTGCATATAGACACCTCCGTTAAACATAGCGGTGGCATCCTTGCCAATGCCGCTGTTGATCATGGCCTTGCCTCCTGGGTGAACCTTGATGAATTCTGTGACGTCGTGAACGACTCCGGCGACAGCGATGAGACCGCGACCATTCTTTGCCTGGTCTTGGAAGTCGTCCCATTCCATGACTGGCAAAGCATCGAGAGGTACACCCCAGTCCAACTTACTACGCTTCTGGTCGAGCTTCTTCTGCTGTTGTTGAACTCGGCCCTTCTCGATTTCATTTTGCTTGAATTGTTTGAGATCGTATGCCAAACCCATTTGCTTCCAAATCCAGATGCTCCATTTTGTAGGGTCATACTGGAAGGTTTCGATGGCATTGCGGTAGTCGGAAGGAAATTCGTGGTGGAAGTTGTGGTAACCTTCACCGAGAGTTACAAGAGCTGTGATGACGTGGTCGCGAGGCGAGTTACGGTCATCAAAAGGTTGGTCACCAAGCCAATGAGCTAGAGAATTGACGCAGAATGTGGCTTGCTGGACGAAGAAGATGCGCAGAATGCCTGCGTAGATGAAGCCACCGAACCAGTCACCCCAGCCTAGGCCTGCCACGATCATGGGGAAGACGAGACCCATAAAGAGGACAACCTTGAGATAGTTCTTGTGTTGCCAGACGACGACTGGGTCTTCGTTCAGATCGCTGATGTCGGTGCGGCCAATTCGCTTTGGGTTTTGCTTCATCAGCATCCAGCCGAAGTGGCTGTAGAGCAGTCCCTTCCTCACGGAATAAGGGTCTTTGTCAGTGTCGGTGTAGCGGTGATGTGCGCGGTGGTCACGGGCCCCTAAAATTTCGTCAGCGTCCTGCTGCTCGTTGAAATATGAATGCTGCATGGAGTTTACTGACACCAGCGTACCGATCCCTCCACAGCTCCTCCGCCAACAGCAGCAAGGAATATTCTCAGCGGCAGAGTGGCCGAGTACGAAGTATGGGCCCCTGAAACAGGTCAGGAATATGGCCAGTACATTGTCAATGAGTCTACACGCACATAGCCTATGGTAGCCACCAGTGATTCCCAGTCCCGTGGCGAAGTAGTAGATGACACTCCAGAGGGCGGTTTGCCAATATAGAGGTGTCCAGAAGGCGGTGATGCAGCCGATGAGCGGGATCCCAATGATCAAGTATACATTGAGCCAGTTGACATGCTTATACCAGTTGGCTGAGTTTGATTGTCAGCTTGCGGCAGCAAAGACGGTGAATATGAGAAGACTAACCTTTCGTGATGGGACTGTCTGTGATGTGAGACTTGTTCGGTCGATATGACTGTGACCGATTTGGCTCCGATTTCTTCGCCGCTGATGATGGCTGGGATGACAAGTATTCAGGCTTTACGGCTAAGTGGCCTGCGGCCGGTTGGGAAGACGGCATAGTGTGTGCAGTCCTCGAGGTATTTCAGAGGATATGTGTAGAAACGAGGTCTTTCGTAGGCTTCGAACAAATGTGAAGTGAGGGCAAAGTGTTGTTTATGAAGAGTGATGTGGGCGAAGACAAAGTTGGGAGAAGAGAGTGGTGAGTTGAGCATTAAATGTGGTGAGCTAATAGAATTTTGCGGCGAAACCCAACGGGCATGGTATGATTAATTTGCCGATAATCGCCGGAGAGTTCAGCGATGATGTGAGTGGTCAGTCCTAATGTTTACCTCAGCTGGAGGCTTAATTAAATTGTTGGTGGTGTCCGATGAGTGGGACATAATGGATCGTGGTAGGGAAAAAGGGTGTCATGATCGAATGCTCTACCCAATCATGAGCCTTTTCAACGATTTTCTTTAGATCGGTTGGGATATTGTAGGGCTGAAGCTGTTGGGAAATCTTGGGGACTGCGCTAAAGTCAGGGACAGCGCGCTTGCATTGAGATAGGGTTCATCGCTGATGTCATTTAGCCGCCCCACCAATCGCCCGCTTCCATAAGGCAATAAGAGTTGTACACGAAATTCTGGTGGAAAGGAGCAACTACTCCACAATCCGCCTATAGGAAATCCAAGAACCAATAACAAGAATTTCAACCACCGTTGGACTCCGAACATGTATGGCTGAGTTATACAGAGGTGGGGGCATCATGTAACCAGCTCCCAACAATGAGCATTGATGTCCGAGTATGTCTTATTACGTCCCTTCCTCGGTCTGCAGAACCTTGTAATACTCTTTCTTGTCTTTTAGCAAGCCGCTGTCAGCCTGCGAAGTAACACTCTGAATAAAATGTAGTCCTTGAAAGACATCACGGAGTACTCTGCCTCGGTAATTCGATCTAGGCATCAACGTCCCAACAAATAACAGGCAGCGGGCTCGGGCAATTAAATGTATCTCGGCGTTTTGGCATCCTTTCGTTTTTGCGAGTTACTTTATTGTGCTGGTTAAATTTCCACTGCTTTACATATGAGTTGTCAGAAGTTTTGGAAGTCTGTGTACGGAAGTCGACCACACAAGGAGCCGTCTGAATCAGTCACAGGACATTTGACGCAGCCTCTCTATATGCTTGGAGGTGCTGCATCCCACCGACGTCAGACTTGCTGGTAAATTCAATAAGCCTACTTTAATGCTCCCATCTTCAATCATACTAGCGTGAACGTGGTCCAACAGCAAGAAACAGGATACCACTTCCTTGTCTACCGTTAGACAGGGATCATATCAATGAAAGTCTCCGATACTACCTCCCACTTCGCTCCTCGGGTTCTTTCTTACGCACTCGAAGCACTAATCCTTATTGGGCGACTCCTGGCATTTCATTTTCTAAAAATTCTACCCAATTCTCGCTTTTCAAACACCAAAGATTGTGCGAAACACGGAGTTCTGCTTGTCATATACTCAGGGAGGACGGAGCGATCGAACGAAGCACTAGATGCTGCCCACATTACGCCAGTGGAAGGTGCACGTTCCATCTCCTTTGTTCCCGTCTGAAAGGCTCAGTCTTCCCGATTGACCGATCATTGTGCAGCACTCTGCCATTAACGCATTTCTTTGTCATTCTAAAGATAAGTATCAATAACAACGACCAAAAATAGAACTGTAGGTCAGCCTTGTCGTCTTTCCATAGTCTCGCAAGTACTTGAGATGCACGGTGTTCCCGCGTCTACTATCGAGCCAAACACCTTGCAGGATCTCAATTGAGACACACTGCGCACGAGCGAGAATTGGGTAAGAATGGTATTAGGTAAACGTGGAAGGGAGCCTGAACAATCAGACTGGGGAGCCCAAGGTAGACTACGCTCACGGCCAAAACCCAATCCTCCCAACGTCCAGCTACCATCAGAGCAACCAAAACAGCGAGGTAAACCACGACGCCTACGGCTCATTCCTCCAACACTCCAAAACCAAACGGGCCCGAGCCGAGCGGAGTCTACTGATCCAGGGTCAAGCCACAGCGAGACCTCGACTTGCTATTCCCAGGACGTTACAAATTACGACGTGGATCGAGGTGTCGAAGCCGCCGGAACTCCACAAGCCGGAGACATTGAATGTTGGGGAAAGCAAAAAGGGGCTGCTGAGTTCATCCGGTCACAGTCTGGTCTCGAAACGAGTTGGGTTGGCATCCGGCCTCTGGGTAAGGGAGGTTGTGGCATCGCTGGTCTCTGGGAGCTTCGGGGCGATGACGGCCAGGTAATTAACGTAAGGATCCGCACTCGTCGACCAGTCGCCATGATACTGATGATCACACAAGCAAATGGTAATCAAACAGGAAACACACACGAAAAGTAACTGGAAGAAACACACATCCATAAGAAAAGTACCGCAAGAGGTAAAAGTCATGAGCAAACTGAATAAGACACACTGTCATGCTATACCGCGTCTTTTCAACTACAAGCGATACCCGCACGTTTTTAAACACCGGACGTATATGGAATACTGTCCTCACAAGGACTTGTCGGTGCTTTGCAAGAGGTACGGTAGATTCAGGTTCGTCACCACTGAAATGCCCATCGTAGGATCCATTACTCAACGTGTCAATAGGCAACACTTGCCAGAACCATTTCTGTGGGATACATTCTATCATTTGGTAGAGGCGGCTACGGCGATGAGGAACGGATCAAAACGTGACAAGTGGGACTTTGAGATTGTGCACCGAGACCTAAAACCCGGTAACGGTAAGACCATCCACATTGAATCATTTGATTGCTGGTACAATTACTCAACTACTCAATGAGAATTAGTCTTTCTAGGAGAGGAGAATGAGGATAAAGGTTTCCCTTTTTACCCAGTCGCCAAGACAGGTGACTTTGGCTTAGCTGTAATGACCAGCGCCAAAGATCCTTCGAACCCGAGCAGGTATCGAGGCCCCGGAACTCAAGGCTACCTTGCGCCGGTGAGTACATCATATTCTGCAGATACACACGTGGCTTATCTCTTCCGTAGGAGCAGGTGAATGACGACACCCCCAAGGAAGAGCAGGACAAATTGTCCTCATATACCAACGTCTGGGCCATCGGCGCAACAATGCTCGAACTGCTGACCTTGTACGCACACTTGGATTATATCAACGACCCCGAATATAATGACGCTGGCAGGATTAGAGTCATTGAAACCAACAAGGAGCCAGAGTACAGTCAAGATTTAAGAGACCTGATCAAAGCTTGCATCGAACCCAAACCTTTGGAACGGATAAAGCTCGAAGACCTCCGAGCCCGCATCAAGTCATATCATGATTGCATCATCAGAGAATACAGACAATCAAGCAACGATTGGCGGGCAAGATACGAATCCGACAGTCTTCTTTACTACGCCCGGAACGAAATCAACAACATGCCTACAGGGGAATGGGAACCTTACAAAGCGATCAGCCCCTCGAAGCCTGAAGATGTGAAATTTCCCGATCATGCCTGGCCGGTCGTGTTCCCACGTTTTGACGATGGTCCCGAGGCCGGAGGAAAAAAGGGCGGTGACGGTAACGGTGATGCAGGAAAAGAAGGCGGAGGTATAAAAGGACTAAAGGGTGGCCTGCCAGATGGCGCACCGGACGGAGGAACGGACGGTAGTTCCGGCGACTCGCTTTCCCCCCCGCCATCTGATCCTCAGCCACCCACTCCTTTCCATTTCCCTGCTCCACAGGCTCCGGCCGGACAACCTGCTCCCAGAATGCTCAGGAACGGACGGATCTTTGGATACTTTTAGCGCGACGACGAGCCTTCGATATCACAGGCACGTCACACGGGTGCCGTAGGGAAGGTCAGTTCATTCGTTCATTCATGCCCCCCCTCCGTCCTTTTCCCAACCGGCTGACCGACGGGACAGATATCGTCGACAGCTTTAAGATCTTCAAATCATTCCTTTGACCTTAATCATATTTTTACAACTCGAGTGCGGGCGTTCGGTCGGTGCTTTAGATTCGTTGTTGGAAATTCATGCTGCAGCACCATAGTGTGTTGTAGCTACCCCTCACGGTGGCAATGACAATATAGCACTAGCGTGGCTTCACATGATATATAAGTGACCTACATACCACTCCATAGCTAATCAATCCTTCAACCTCTCTTCAATTTCAACATTCGGCGGTTCGTAATGTAATATTACCGGGCAGCTAGTCATAAAATCGTCGTGAACACTTAGACGCAAATTCAGCCAGACATTCCTCCTCTCATCATTAGCGCTTGAGCTTCCCACGAACGTCCTCAGTCAGACCACGGCCGCGTAGAATCGTCATCGGAGGGAAAGCCCGACCGGCGACGACAGGGTTGGAAGAGCGAGCTTCGCTTCGGATCGGCCGGTGGGTGGATCTGTAGGTTTGGGGCACCGTTGTGTGTGTTGAGGGTGGGTGTGTGTGTGCGTGTGTGTGTGCGTGTGTTCCGGGTGGGGGGAAGAGAGACTTATACTTGCGACTCCAACACAACAGCTCCCTACCCGCATCCACTTTCCCCGCGCACGACGCAGACCGCAGCCGGCGAGCCGCTCCTGGCTCCGAAAGCATCGGGCCTCGGTGCTGCGTTCTGACTTCCTCCGACCCCCTCCCTCCTTCCTTCCCTTCAAACCCTTTCTTTCCCTACCTACCTATCTAAGCTTCCCCAGCCATGCCATTTTCGCCCCGCATGGTGCCCGAGAACGAGGACGTGTGTAGAGCCGCGCAGGTTATTTTCGTCTTCCGCGATGACGCGTGGGCGATAAACTCTCGGTCGAGGATATGGTTGTTGGGAATGGGGAAATTGGGTGCTGGTGGGGGGGCGCGTTGGGGGGTTATTCGGTCTGGATTGCATATGCTGGGGTGGTCGTTGTGGAAGTTTTTCTTGATGGGACGGATGGGGGGTTTGGGGACGGGGAGGGGGGGTGTTATGAGGAGGGTTGAGGTGGACGAGGTGTTCTGCATTGGAGGTGGGGTGGATCGGATGTGCATAAGATTATGACTGCGTGACATGGGACGGGATGGGGGTTTAAGATTTGTTCTGAGAGGGTCTGATTCATTTTCGTCTCGTGCTAGTCCAACAATACCTTGCAGCCGTCGGCGCTGGAGAGGAAGACGGTCAGCGCTTGCTTTTCTTGCCCTGTCGGTACAACGGGATACCCTGGTGGCAACCTGATGTTCGGGAAGGTTTGTATGATTCGAACGATGGCGCAAGACGCTTCCATCAATGCGAAGTCCTCTGGGAGATTGTCAGACCCGCAGGCTCCTCCTCTTCACAATGATAGCTTGGAAGTGGAACTCACTGCCGAGACAAAGCCGGGGTCCGCCGTGAAAGGGTATATAGCCCCAGCCAATGTTCGCGAGTTCAGGACCTTCCCATCGCTCTGGTCGGAACTCATCGGCGTCATCACCGTACAAGTCTTTTCGTCGGTGCAGGTAGTAGGCTAGAAATCCTACACCCACTCCACGGCGTACGAGCAGTGGGGCATCGCCATCTGGACCGCCGCCGCGGGGCAGCCAGGTGGTTTTTTGGGCTATGCGGACGTTTATGGGGACGGAGGGATAGAGTCGGAGGGCTGTGGGGGTGAGCAAACTTTGGTCAGCGGGATGCCGGGAACGAGCGAGATTCTCACGTACTCTCATTCAGTACACATTTGAGATAGGACATCTTTTGGACATGAGTCCTGGTCAATTCTTGGTCGTCTCCCATGACGGATCGAATCTCGTTGCGAAGACGATCTAGAGCGGAAGTGTGGCGGACGAGGAGGAAGCTAGGACCGGATTCTCAGCATGGCGTTTAGCAACCACTTCCCGTGGCGCAGAGCAAGAAGAGTAGTCGAGAAGTACAGAGGCTTACAAGGTCCAGGACAATAGGCACGCAGTGGTATCTCTTCCAGCCAACAAGACATTCACGAGCTGATCTCGAACGAGCACTGGATCCTGCATCTCGTCGTATAGATCTTGGATAAAAGCGTAGCGATCCGAATCTGGTCCCGTCTTGTTCTTTTCTTGTAAAGCTTGCTTGACAAAGACGTTGGCAAAGTCTTGGACTCTTCTACAGGCGGCTTTATATCTCGATGGGCTGTACGCCCAATAGAAATCCTGCAGCCGCGTACGAAGCGAGCTTATCATGGACGCGTAGTCAAAGTCTTTGGCAAAATCCTGCTGGGCTTCTTCGAGGCTATCGACGGATTGACCGAAGATGAGTGCGGTAGTCGTGGCCAACGTGAAGCGGAATAAGAAAGGCTGTAAATCAACGACACCACTGGAAGAGGACAATCCGGCGATGAGACTATCGATGTGCTCACCGAACCCTTTCAGGTCTTGGTAGTGGCTTTTGAGGAATGGCCGACGCAGCAGTTCGCGAGAATGCTTCCATGCTGTCCCATCTTGAGTGAAGATACCTTCTCCGATGAAAGGCAGTAGAGCTCCGCGTCGAGAGCCCATTTCAAAGTCTATGAATTTTGGTCAGCAAAGCAGTTCGACACCGCCAAACAAAGCTTGACGTAACGTACCTTCAAATCTCGTCGACAACATTGCTTCGAGATTCTTCGGGTCAATTGTCGTATATACCATGGCGCCTAGCATTTTTATCATAAAGTTCGGTCCAAGATCGTCAATGAAGGGTTGCTGATAGGCAAAGAGACGGTTGTCGGCAATAGCAACCATTTGTGCTCGAAGCACGTCGATTCCGAGGGGCCACTTGACGGGGAATTGCACTTCCATGGCCTGGCAGCCGTGTTGGTTGCCGAACACTGTGTCTGCCTTTTTACTCAGAGTCAGATCTGAGGGCATAATGCCATACATGATGGACTTACTTCATATTCACGCCTTCGTTGGTGACGTTTGTAAAGGAAGTATGCAAGCACTAGTACGAGCAGTGGAAGATAAAGACCGAGACTTTGTACACCCGTGCCTCCCCAAGCGCTAAGAGGCCGGTCCTGCATGGTTTTGTGTCACGTTTGATAGCAAGAGACAATCTGAAATCATATATGAGCCAGGTTTCGAAGTTGAGGTCTTAAAATCTTACCTGGGCCAGCCCACTTTCTCGACATCATTCTAAGCCAACAAGCACTAGCTGCTGATTTGTTCGAGCTAAGCCGTGAGTATGTTGTTGGGGGGGTATTTAGTTCGTATTAGGTTCGATATCTAATGGTGCTTTTTATTTTCTGGCAGCGCCATTACTCGGGTTTTAAAGTTTTTGACCGGAAACAGCCGTTGGTCCGGCGGACGACGGCTGACACTACGACAAAACTAAAACCAATTTTTTTTCTTAATTTTTTTTCTCTTCCCGCGATTTAAAGAGATTTTTAAAGAGATTTTTTTAAAAAATATCTTAGAGAGATACTTTAGAGAATTCTTTAAAGGGTATTCGAGAGAAATTTAAGAGAGTATTCGAGAATATACTTTTAAAGATACTCGAGAAGAATATTTTAGAGAGCACTTAAAGGGTTACTCGAGGAGTTTTTTAAAAATTTACTCGAGAAATTATCTGAAAAAATACTCAAAGTGCGAAAAAAGAATTCGCGGGAAGTTCCGCGGAAAGTCTCGTAAAAAAAATGTTTTTTTTTTGCGAAGAACTTTATAAAATATTAAATTATAGTATTAGTCATTATCCGTCGTAAGTATTCGAAAGAGTACTCGGAAGAGTATCCGAGAGAGTACCCCGAAGAATATTCGGGAGAGTACCCCGGAGAGTAGCCTCTAAAGAGTATCTCAAAAAGTATCTCTCGAAGAGTTAAGAATATTATATTTTGAAGAGAGTTATTAGAAATCGCGAAGAAGGAAAATAGAATAAGAATTAAAAAGGAGTTTTGTCGTAGTATCAGCCATCGTCCGCCGTACTCGTATTTACTAGAATTTATAATCTACTAGAATTTATAATCTTTAAAATCTAATTCTTATAATTTATTATTTTATAATAATATAATTAAAATTAGAAAAAGATGTTAAAAGAATAGAGAATATAATTATTAGATTTTTTATTTTTTTAATAATTAAGCTTAAATTAATAAAGATATAGAGTATTATATTTAAATTTAACTATTAAAGTTTATTACGCTATTATATAAATAAATTATTTCTATCTCGATTTTAAAAAATTCTAAAAATATAAAAGTCGCTTTTTATATTCTCTTAGAATTTTTTTCGGATTTTTTATACTAATGTTGTGGAATAATAAATTATAAAGATTAAGTTTTAGAGATTGCAAATCCTAGTAGATTGCAAATCCTAGTGAATACGAGTAGTTGGTCCGAAATTCCCCCGGTGTTTTCATGCCCGGAAATTTTTCGTTGGTTGGCTTACCGTCCGAGGCGGACGCCTGTTGGATGTGGTCGTATTGTTGGGGGTATTTAGTTCGTTTTAGGTTCGATTCCTAATGGCGCTTGGTACAATGATGTTGCGGTGCTTTTTATTTTCTGGTAGGAAGGATGCTATGGAAGCCTGCCGTCCCAGCGAGCCAAGTAAGCTATACTACATATAGCTAGCCTGCATAAAGCTTTCCGGCTACCTACGCCACTAGTCTGTATCATTTCACTGTCTACTGAACCAAGAAATCTCTGCGGATTTGGCCATCAAAAAGTTGAGGTTGCACTTCAAGTTCACAGAGATGGAGCCAACATCTCGATGCCCATGTAGACCTTCGTAGTAACCGGCTGACCGAAGGCTAGGAATGCTGGAAACTGTAAACCTACTGATGAACAGAGTCCCACACATATAACAAAAAGTCTGTGATTGGGGATTGGAACCCTAACGAGATCGATTTGATCCTGTAGCTTGCCAGCATCCCATTCATAATATAGACCCTTTCACAATCACAAAAATATTGCCGAGAACACCTACACACAACACGATCCCATAAGCCATCAACCCCGCCTCAAAACCAATCCACTCCACAGAATCGGAGTGTGACCAACAAACTCACCCTGCCCCGTACTGATGCCCACCAACCCCCTCCTCACACACATCGCCGCCCCCGCCCCGGCCCCCGCCCACACCTCGAACCAACCCGCCGTGTCCGGCGGCCCGCGCGTGTTGACCACCACCGCGCACGACCCCGCCGTCGCCGACGGCGGCGGCAGCAGCCACGACTGCGGCAGCCCGGCCTCGACGCCGGCCTCCCCCACGGGCCCAAAGACCCGCGCCGTCTCGCCCGCGAACATCTCGTTCCGGAGCGTCGAGCAGGCCTCGTCGTCCGGCGGGCGCGCGCGCCGGGCGCGGAACAGCGCACCTGGGGCGCAAAGGATCGGACGCTGACGACGAGGTTCGCCTTGTCTCCTACGCGGGTAACCGGGCGGAACGCCGGGCGAGTCAACAAGGACGGCTTTCGCGCGCCGGATCGATCGATCGATCGATTGGGGGATCGTGTACCTAGGTTCTTGAGACTCCCGCCCCAGGTCTCGGGCCGCACGCATTGCTCGAGGATCTCCCACGCCGCCTGCGCGATGCGGTACCAGGACGCCTTGTCCGAGACGGCGATGCCGGGGCGCGAGCTCACGTCATGAGCCGTCGGCTGTGGATGTGGCGGTGCGTGCGCGTCAGCGCTGTCCCGCATGCGCTTGCACCCGGAGCGAGATACGGATGGGATTGATTTCGGGCGTCGAACTCACAGCTGTAGGCCCTCCAAGGCAGATTTACCGACCATCGACCCTGTGTGCGGGGGCCCCATGTTAGGTCCGATATAAAGTGCGGTATCTGGTCGTAGGCGTCGTGGCAGCTGTCGTAATTCAGATCGGATCCGTATCCATCCGGGTCGCATTGGATTATCAGGTGGGAGAGGTTGGAAGAGGGTGCTAGTTGTCCGTTAGGTAGCGACGCGTTGGCTGATAGATTTGAGGGGTTCAGTGTCGCTAGGGGCTTTGGAACTAGAGGCTGTGCGGCATTCAATGTGAGTGATGCGACCCCAGCTGTAAAGAAGAATGGAACAGAGAACATTGCGGGCGGTAAAGAGGTTAGTATCATGATATGATATAAAGGCGTGGCGGAGAAGGGTCTGCAGCGTTTTTTCATACATTGAGGTACATATGATATAGTTGTTCCTGAATGCTCGAGTACGGTCGAGTGTATCAATGAAAGCGTAGATAACCTGCGGTCTTGAAAAAAGATTTGCTCTCTTATATTGTATGCGCCGAAGATTCTTGTCGCGTCGCTAGTGTGATATTTTTTGTAACACTAGCAATAAAAATAACACTACTCTAGGTGCTGCTACCAGAGTAGAATTGCCGGCTTCTTTATACTGGGCCTTGTAGGAAGCGCTTTAGTAATCAAATGGACTGACGCGCCTGGCCTGGATATACGGTGTTTCTATCAGAAAAGAAGAAGACATAATCGTTACACTCATGCGGGATACCTATAGCCTGTGTATAAGATGTTTTCACCGCAAATAAGAAAACCGTTACACTCGTTATTCACACAAAAGACTCGGCGGAAGGTCTCGTAGTTGGCTGGCGGGGTGTCTGGACCCATCATTAGCTTCATTTACTTGCAACCAAGCTAGGTGACTTTACCTTCTCGGAATGGATTCTCTGCGTCACTATGATACCCGGCCCATGCAATGGCAGTTCTATATCGTCCCCTCGGTTATCAAAGCTTCCTTCGCCGTACCGAGATCGCCGTATGTGCGTCCTCACACCCCCCAGCACCTGCGACGGTATCTCTGGCAGCTCCTTACTTCTCGAGCCCTTAGTATTCCTGCTCCATAAGTTCCACGACGTAGAGGTGTCCTCAGCCGGGGTCCGGTACTTCAATGCTTGGTGTGCGACGAACAGGGCTCTGAATGCTGTAAAAGATACCACGATAATCGCAACGGCAGCTTCTATCTCGTACCACAGTAGAACCCATGAGGAGTCGACTCCGCCAGTGCTGGTGTTTGCGCCAGCGACCTTGATGATGGAGACGATCATTGTGCAGACACTGAGACAGAGAATGCCGCACAGGGCGAGTTTACGGCGGATGCTGATTCGAACATTCCAGAGGAGGAGGACTGGGACTGAGATGACTGATTCATTGGTCAATATTATCGAGGCCACTAGTCTCGATAACAAACGCCAAGACTTACGGAAAGCGTCCGTAACAATGTCCAGGATTGTGATGGCTTTGAGCACACCATTCTGCCTCTGATGAGCCGCTGGTGTCACGCATTTGACTTCAAGCGCATCAGTAAAGATCGCTAAGTGATCTTGACAAGGAAGAAGAGTTGACGGACCGAAGATTTCCTGGTTCCAGTAGGCACACACGATGAAGATAGCAAAGATCATGAGGAAAGCAGTAGGAATGAGAATGGCAAAGATGCACCACCACCAGACCATCATCTTCTTTTGCTGCCGGAGAAGGGCTCGGAAAAAGAACAAGAAGGAGAACTTGACGCTGACAATGGCAACTCCCAGGAGCGACGTGACAGCATCCTCCAGCTTCTCGCCCAATATGAGGGACGAGATGAAGTTTGCAGGGGCAGATTCCAAGCCGGCTTCCACAAGTTCCTCTGAGTAGAAGTGTGGTACGTCGACGTAGGTCATCACGGTACCGGCCAGGAAGGTGATTACGGCGAGCAGGAAGAAGCCATCGTCGACAGTGAAACCATGAGACTTGTATGTGCGGGCGCGGATGACTGTTCTGCCAGTTGCTACGATCAATGCTATGCCGAGCAGGAAGCCAATGGCAATCTGCGCTCGCGTGAGCTCAGATAGTCAGATGTGCCACTGTGCATGGTCACCTGGAAGGATGTCTGGCCGATCTTTGGAGGCGCACTCGGTGCTGCAGCAGCACTAGTCGACATCTTGACCCAAGATTTTTCTATTTACCGAGTATTGAGCGTGCGGACGTTGAATTGTGAAGTCGGATGACGAATGTTCATGACATGACGGAAGGCAAGAATATAAGGAGGGTAGAAGAAGGAAAGACGGAAGCGGCAAAGGTAATAGGCATAATTTGGAGAGCGCATTGCGATAACTCGTTGAGACACGGGGTCTTGACTCTCGAATCTTCATTGTGCAATGCGGGATGATGGTGTGTTGAGACTCTCCCATGATTGGGCAAAAGGAACATGTGGAATAAAGTGATCAACGGTCGGCGAAGGCGCGCATGAGGCACAGCGCTTAGCATTGTGTATCAGAAAGCTGACTATCTGATAAGCTGCATGTAAGTCGTATCTTGGGCGGCGAGTTCCGCCACTACGGTCAGAGTATGCATTGGGGAATCAGATCGGAGATCTGGATATAGTATGGCCGAACCCTCCCACCTGTTTGGCGGAGATATTTAGTTCGTATTAGGTTCGATTCCTAATGGCGCTGGTACAATGGTGTTGCGGTGCTTTTTATTTTCTCCACCCCTCCCTTCCGTATGGCTCGCTCCGAATGAAGTGGGAGAAGTCTCCTGTTGAGCGGAAACATGACTTGGTGTAGGGACCCGATCTATTCAGCTCTCCTTGAGTGAAGAGTCTTGACGCCTTGACCAGCAATCTCAGAGACCTTTTGGTCTCTCAATCATACGAAACTCAGGGCAAATCTTGTCAATTCCGTCATCTTCGCGGATCCGACTAAATCCCAAGTCGTCGGGTCTGCGAATTAGCGGCGAGGTAGACTTCGTTTGAAAAACTCGTTGTGGGTAAGTCCATAGTAGTGCCTGCGTCGTGAGTCTGTATGGCCTCTCTTGTAGTGACAGATGTACAAGCGTGGAAGTTGAGTGCAGCTAGCCACTCTTTCAGATGGAGAAGTCGCAAGTACGGAGAAGATGCAGGAAGAAGAGTGAGAATAACGGCGGGGCAGGAAAGCAAGAACCGAAAACCCAGGGCTTGATGCCAAGGCCCGCTCGGGAAGGCTAACTACTTATTCATAGCTTGTTCGAGAATGCTTGGCATTCCGGCACCCTGCCCCTGGTGCCCCCTCGGCCGTCGTTGAAATGCCTCATCAGCCTCAGGTGTTGCCCTGCAATACAATTCTTTTCAAGCACAAAGTCAACACCAAACTTTAACATATTCAGTCAGTCGAACTTCCTATTCACCTTTCAACCTTTCAACCTATCTCTTTACGCACTGAATCAAATCGAGCTTGAAGCAGCATCATTTTTCTCAACACATTTTCCAATGCGCGCTAAGACAAATTGAGGTTTTCAGCATGGCAAAGTTTGAAAGTCGCGTTAACACATTTTGCTCGGAGCGTCATGTCAGCAAGATCATCAACTAAACCTCCAACGTTTCTTCAACACATTACTCTTCAATATACATCGTAAGATGGAACATCGACACTGCTGACTTTGGACTCTGTCTTGTTTCTCAACACATTCTCTCGTACAAAAGATGGTCGAGCCGGGTGAGGGGGAAGCTGAGCCAGATTGTGTGAGCCTGCAAAATTCGGCATTTCTTCCTTCGACCCATTCTCAGTCAACCTCTTCAAGCGCGAACTCAAAACGCATAGGGAATCACACACGCATAATTGCAAGAGAATTAACAAAAGTCGTCGACAATTTCGAAGCTACCTGACCGTAAGTAAAGCATTGGAACAAGTGAGAGATAAAGGCGGCAGTCTTTATGACTTTCTTATCTGCCACTTCACGGGTAGTTGGTCAGCTCTTTGATGCTTTAACAAGGGGCTGTCATACCCTAAGCCGGGGAGCTTCGTTCGCTGTCCAAATATTGCGATAATTTGCTCTTGCCTTCTCGGGAAACGACATTCATATCTCAGGGTTGAAATACCTGCCCACACAGGTGTGATCTTACGTAGTACGAGTATGTAGCATAAGTCATGCATAGACGGCCATCCGAACTTTAATCTTTTCTAAGTCCTACAGTGGTAGCCCTATAGAACTTTGCGGAGAATCATTAATTTCTCCACTGTAGGACTTAGAAAAAATTAAAGTTCGGATGGCCCTCTATGCATGACTTATGCTACATACTCTTACATTATCTGCTCATCTGTCAGCTGGTACTTGAGATCCGGTCAGAATGATCAAGAAGATATACTCCTATGCCAACTCGGAGTACGTTTCCCGGCACTGAGTGCAGGCAGCAGCATTCTGGGCTCTGAGAGGATCTCGACGAGCTGAGGCAGAGGCGAAAAGCCTTTTCCTGGGAGCGAGACCTTGCCAGAGGACCGGAACGCTGTCAGCTGTTGAGTCTGAAGTCCAAACAGCAGTTGCACTCGCGGAAGCCAGATAAAACTTACTCACAACACGGAGATCGAAGATGTAACTCCGTCTACACTTTTAGGGATTCTCACAATCTAGGTATCCCGAAGTTATGAGTTGGCCGGCCCAAAACCAGATCGGTCCTCTTAGAAGACGGTATTTTTTCCCCGACTGAAGCCCGTCGAGCCATATTTCCCTCGCATCCGCAATCCTTCGCATACCTGTCTTTGTGTATCGTCTCCGATGATTTGTCGACAACTCAGCACGGTGGCTATATTTCACGGTTCAGCTTTGGCGGATGTATTTTCCAACACGCCCGCTGGCATACTGGATCAAAAGACCGGATACAGGCTCGAAAGAGCTTACACCTGTTCTACTATATTCGTCGAGATTGTGATAGTCTACGAGTCGGTAGGTTAGGCTTACCGGAAGCTCATAAGGGTTTCAACGATAAACACGAAAAGTCTCGAGAAGTATGAGAACCGCTTTGCTTTCGGTGAACAAACATGAATATTCCGAATCTAAGCTATATAAGTCTACCTTAGATCAGCGACGGGAAACATTGCTCTCCGTTCAACTCCTCCGCAGATATCAAAAAGTATTAGTGAAAGACTTCAAAGTCATTTTCCATAGAATCACAACGCAATTCTCCTCCTTCTGCCGATAAGAAAACCCGAATAAACGACGCGAATTTGATGAAAGAAAGTAGGTCTCTATATATTGCTCCGATTCGGCTGAGCATTCATCTGACTCTAGAACACAAGAATGGCTCCTTGTCATCATTGCCACGGAAGCCGCACGATATCGATAGAGTGCACTTGGTGTGGTGGCCAAGGCGGCGCAGACATCATGATAGTCTGCAATTCCTGTAACGGGCAAGGCCGACAGCAGGACCGCAGCGGCGCGGCGATTGAGTGCCCAAGGTGCCGCGGAGCGCGGCTGGTAGCATTATTCATACCGTGTCGCTATTGCGGTCAAGGGCAAGGCTTCGTACGTACACCTTGCCAGTATTGCAGGTGACCCGCTTGGAATGCGGCACCCGTACTAGTATACTTAGCTCTCAAGAGGCGAGGTGGGTCTGATAGACCTAGGTTGGAGAAGCTCGCGCGCAGAAGAGCGAGGGATGACATGTCCCACTGCGAGCATTTGCGTCGCGAATCTTTAGGCCACTGAATTATAACAGATCTGATTGTTCGCACCTGAAGAAATTCCGTTAGCTGTTTGTCTATACATGAGGACAATTACAGGTCGTTTCTCAGATGCCCTCCTGCGGGTCGAACTAACGATGACCGCCAACACCGCTCGAACACGACTGAGTGGAACGTTCGTATTGGCCGTCTTCTCCCGTTTGCAGTATGGGAGCTTGTCATAGACGACGTCCCGTCCAACACTTTCAACCATTCCCCCACCGCTGGTTTTCTACGATAAAACACTTCTTTCATGTGGGGAGGAGGGTAATTAATGGCAAAGGCTTTTTTTCACCTGGGAACATTTTCCGGTTTAGACATGTAGAGTCCTCGTGTGAAAAGACGGCATCCGGAGGTTCTACCTCTGGGCAACGACATTCAAACCATCTCACCCATTGACACTCACAGGTCTGAATGCCACAGAGTATCGTCGATGGTGGAAAGACAAATCTCCGAATGTCGCACCCATCGCTGAACAAGCGGCATTTCTACAAGCCCAGTCTTTGCGACAAGCGATCGGCTCAAATCGGCCAGAAAGATTCTATCCGCGCAAACTCCCACCCCATCCCAATCTACCATCTCCGTCCCACCTCCCCATCAGAGCCCCCCCCGCCCCCCTCCCCAAACATCAACCACCCCCCAATGATCCTGCCACTCCTCCTCCTCCTCCCTATCTTCGCAACCCCCAGCACCACCAAAGTCCTCCGCAACCCGCGCATCCCCTGCAAAGGGAAGACACTCGCATCCAAAACGCTCAAATCCCTCGTTCCATGCACCACCATCCTCTCACTTACCACTCCACCCTCCTCCCTCGGTCTCATAGCGCAGGTACCGATTGGATGATACTCACTGCTGAAACTGTTCCTCACAAAAGCCTTCACATTCTGCTCGTCAAGCTCATGGAAGCCTGGCTGGAAGACACGACCACCTTCCTTAAGATGCGTCGGTAGTGGTGCCGTGCCAGCGACTTGCTGTAAATGCAACATAGCTTGTGAGATGACGATGAGGTCGAGAGGGTGGGAGGGATAGTTTGGATCGATGGACGGGTAGACGGTGGGATCTGCAGATACGATATGTACACTGCCACGAGGAAAGGGGGTTTCAAGGTCTGTGAGCATGGAGAAGTGGTTGCCAGGCTAGAGGACAGGGTCCGGGCTGAAGAGGAGACTGGCATTGTCAGCGTGCTTGGGGGTTGTACTGGATGGAAGACAGACTTCTTGCAAGCCTTCTTCGTTGGCGTCGAGGAGCTTTTGGAGGATGAGCGCATCTTTCTTTGGTTGGCCTGAGATTTTGCTCCGAGATGGTGCGTGGAGAAGAGACTGTGGGATGGGTCCTAAGGATGATATAAGTAATCTTGCCTAAACATTTCTGTAGGCTTGTTTATTGACATTGGGGCAGAAAATGGTGTGACGAACCTTTGTTCAAAGCGACAAGAATCTGACTGAAAGAGACGTACGAATTGCATGTACCTGAGGCAAAGGGACCAGTTCGGTTCATAGCATACTCCGCAAGGGCATTTGCAACAAAGGTCTCGTTACGTAGCGATTCAAACGTGACTTCTCCTAGAGCAGCTTCGAATGCCAAGGAAAGGAGGATGTGATCCTGAAATTCTCACCCTTTTCGGACTCTCATATAGCACACTTGAACTGCCCTATGAATCGAGCAAGGACGCATTCCCTACTCCAGAAAGCTCAAGGAGATGAGGTGCTAGGAATGTTCCCGCGAAAAGGATAATTTCGCGTTGTGCCGAAGCAGTCGAAGTGTCGCCGCAAACAGTGAATTGACGCTGGTGGCTACCAGAGGCGTTGTAGAAGCAGCGAAGACGACTTTGGTGGTGAAGGCACCGGTAAGAACCTTCAGGTATGGTCTTGCAGCGGGGGGTTTGCAGTATGCGTTACTGGCACAGCTTCGGGTAGCATTGGTTTTATCAACAGTCATCAACGTCGTGTAAGCGCCAATTGCAATTCCTTCCTTCGCATCACCGGTAGAGTAGGACCAAGGCCCAGGCTCTTATACGTGGGCTCCCAAGCTTTGTAGAAATTACCGTAAAAAGATGAAAAGAAGTCTTGGACCGGGCTATTTTCACCATGAAGATGCGATCCGATGAAGGTGGTGTCGACCTGTTCCGGTACACTAGTGGGTGGAGCGTTGTAGTTCTCCGATTTGAGGAAGTATGGGAAGAGTTCCTTCCAGAACCGCCCAGGATTGCCAAGTTGGCCCCAGTCGTCGATGTCTTGTTGAGACGTGTGGGTCCAAGAACTAAAACTGATGGCGCTAGATCCTTCAAGCTGACTTTCGACGCGGATGGTCAACAACGCGATCGTTGCCGTGAGTCTGGGGCACTGTGTCGAAGATCCAGTCATTCCGGGTTGTCTCACATGGTGGGCGTGAATCCAGGAGTGAGGACATTGGGATCATCAGTTCGGTCGAGGCTGTGCGCATTTTGAGATCAGCGTAGCTTCTTCAAGGTAGGTAGTTGAGCTGCAAGACAGGTCTCGATAGTTGACACCTCGATTGATTCCCGAAACATGTTTTACGACTGAACCTCAAGACCAAAAAGGAATGGTCATTCTTTAAATATACGTACCCGACCTCAAAAACGCCGACAGTAATATCTGGATCCTCCGTCAGCCGCGCTGCCAGCGTGAGGCCTGCAGTGCCACCTCCGGCAATCAAGTAGTCGAAATGAGTAGCTGCGGAAGAAAATGGGTCAATATGAGTAGTCATGTATCTCCAAAGCTATTATGATGCTAAGGAAACGGCCGTTGCTTCTTTCGCCTTGTCCAGGGTGCACACATCGATATACGGCACCGATAGTGCTTCCCTGAATGCATACATGGACTGCTGAGATGCGAAGCTCGTACAGCCGGAAGCAGAGAGTGCGAAGCGAATGGGCACCGTGGGGCTTACCCACACCCTAACAAGTGTTTCCCCGGCATGTCAGCCACCGCTGCGTGCGTTTACCGCTAGCCATCAGCAAATCAACGAAAGTCTTTAGTGACAAACGACAATATCTTATCTGTGGAGTGGACCTGGTCCACAATCTAAAACCTGAGACTGCACCAATTGCCGCAGAAATGTTATAGAAACCAATGTGAACAGTAAGCAGCCTGCAGGTCAGCCACATGTGGGCTAAACAGGGTTAGCTCGGCTTGAGTCTCGCTGCAGAGATGCCGTGCATGCCCGCATGCCAAGGTGGGCAATTGCCATCAATGAACTAAAGCCTGCATGATCTGCCCTCTTTGATTGCAATCGGATTTGTATGCATCACCGGACCTGCCTGAACTTAGTCATTGAAATTCTCTCTTGTGCCCCGCCTTCGTATGAGCTCCTAGACGTTGAGAGGGAATTTTTTCTCGACCTTGCCCCAGCCGCCTTGGGAACTCGCTGTACTGGGGTTAAAGAGGCTGCATTGAGCACTCCAACAGGGACATCCGGAGACCGTGGACGCATGATTCAACTTGCTATCCATCAGAATCGGAGGCTGTTTGTATTTGTTGACGCCCAAGCTAGTGGGTCCTTCGAAAAATTCCGGGGCCAAGGATGATGTTTTTGGGAGCGAACTCGAATGCCACCAGGCATTGCTGGTGGTCCAACAGCCTTACGGAGGTCTGCACCAAAGTTCCTGGACAACGCTAATACCAGCCTTAGCCCTACTCTCGGAAGACAATACTGTAGTAGGGGACCCTAGAATATATCCTGGGAGCGCATGAACTGGATTTTAGGGATCTTTGACATTGCCTGGGTGCAGTTCCGAAATACTTCTAAGCGCACCCCTCTAGGTGGGGCGTTACCCGAGATCTTGGCGCAGGAACCTTGGCGTCCAGGCAATGCGACTATTTTAGACGACATAAGCCCACCGTCCATGCAAAAGCATTTGTCATTGTGCAGCAAACCGCTGTGCCCCGACGGAAAAAGCATAGGGTTCTTAATGGGGACTTTTCGACTACGCCCATACTCAAAAGATGTCAAGCCGGATCATGATTATGGATCACAAATGGTATAAAAGATTGTAAAAAAGCCGAGGACTGTTAACCTAAGCCAAGCTTAGCAGTATGCTTCGCCTTCTATCGAATCGCTGGTGCCAAGAAGTACTGTTTGTGCGTGCTCAGCCCATTCGATTAAAGGAGCGGTGAGGCAGGAATACCCTGCCCCTTATTCAGCGTTTTTCATCCAAAACGCCAACAATGCCCATATTGCACGCAGCAAATCCTCCTTGTATCGTGCGTCTAAGAAAGGCACACCAAAAACATGATCGTAATTCTGGTCCGGTCGAATGCAAACCTACGGCGAAGGATTCCGCCCTCTGATTTGTCGGGTCCATGAAAGAATCAGGTGCGGTTTTTTAGAACGCCGGATCTACAAAAGGGTGACCTCCCTTCCCTGAGTTTTCCTCGCAGCTCATCGTTCGCTTCATCCACTCCTTTCGTTTCTCAAACCAGGTGCTAGTATGGCCGTATCGCCAGAACCGTCTCGTGGACCGGGGCTCGCTGCACTCTGTATTGTTATGATTGTATTGTCTACCTTAGCAGTGATTCTTCGTATTTGGTCCCGATTGACGTCAAAGAAGCAGAGATTCTGGTGGGATGATTGGTGTGCCATTATGAGTTTAGTATGTGTCTAGACAATGCATTTTGTTCAACCAAAACAAATCACTAACTGATCTGGAGCCGTTGGTGCTTGCAACGCTATCGACGATACTCTTATTAGTCCCCACCGGTCTTGGCCGTCATAAAAGCCAATTTGACCCAGAGAAGCTTTCCTTAGCCCTTAAATACAGTTACGTACACGAACTCCTCTACCAACCTGCAATCACAATGCCCAAATACTCGGCGCTTCTATTCTACGTCCGAGTCTTCGAAATCAAATGGGACTCGCGCCTCTTCCGGACGAACATATTGGTCTGCGTAGGCCTCGTCACCGTGTGGTTCCTCTTCTCGCTTCTGTTTGATGTCTTCCAATGCACTCCAATACAGAAAGTGTGGGCCCCACTGATCCCAGGACACTGCATCAATACCTCCCATTGGTTTCTGGGGCTTGCAACAGTTAGTGTGATCATAGATGTCTACATTATGCTTCTGCCCTTGCCAATACTGTGGAGCCTGCACGCGGGGCGCAAGCGCAAAATGATATTGACGGGGTTCTTCTTTTGCGCTTATTGGTAAGTAATCTCGCGTGGAAACGATAACAAATTACTCCGGTAGCATTTACTGATTTATAAAACTCCACAGCGTGATCACTTGTTCGCTCGGCCGCGTGGTAGCCATTGTGCAGCTCAACAAGAAATCTGACGGAGACTTGTTATGTACGTATTGAGCAAAGAAACGAATTCGCTGCGATGCAGAGGCGTTACTGGTAACCAGTGCGTGCTAACCGGGCACACGATTCAGGGAACATCAGTACCTTCTTCTATTGGACAGTGGCCGAACTAGCCATCTCGATCGTGAGCATCTGCCTCCCGAATATGACTCAGCTACTCCGCCGCGCGCATCAACACGGAGTCTCAGCTTTATTCACGTGTCGAGAATATCCAGCTGGTACGGGGAGCCGTTCGAAAAAGGGGCTGGCGGGCTTTGCGTTGCTTCAAGGGAACAAGGGAGGGTTTCAATGTGTCGTCGGCAACGATGATACTACGCTACTCGCTAATAACGATCCATTGATCAACAAGAAGGACCAAAGCGGTCTGTATAGGGCGAGTGCATCTGCGCAACAGTCTGAGGAGGGGGCGATTACTGCTTTGGGTCAGGTACGCCAGCGGCACGACATAGACGTGAGAGAGAATGGAGGCTGGGCCGTGGTTTGATCTGGGGTGTCCACGATTTTTGCGAATGTTCCCAATACCCAGTGTCAAGGCACCCAGCCATCGAAATTGGACTTCAGGAAATTCATTGGGATGAATCCGTGTAGATACGAACAAACATGTCCGAGGACTGATTCTCCTGTCCTAAGACCTCTCGCCAAATCAGGAACGGCTGTTGCAGTCGACCTCTGACCAGGGAAGCTACTGCTCGATTGACTCCAAAGTATTTGCCAACAAAGCTGTAGCGTTGGTGAATTGTGTGAGGCGGAGACGAGCGACGAGGGATATGCGTTCCCGAAGCCCGGCTGGATTTTGAATCGAAGTTCTTTCAGTCTTGAGATACATAAGCAAGACTCGCCCCTAACACGGTACCTCAAGTCTAATGTTCTCAAGAATAAGAAGCTCACAAATTTCGATGGTGCGTTCTACTAGTGAGGTGCTAGAACAGGACACCATTGTAGATAGGGATGCGGATTTGTCACATGACACGTGACGTCACGTCAGACCTCCTTCGTCAATTAACTGTCATAGCAAGCCAAATGACCGCACAGCAAAAGGTTTTGTACGCGTTGAAAGATTTTCACAAGGGAAATTTTTAGGGCTAAGACTAGTGGATATCTAGGCGTCTAAGACAATTCTTTGTCGCCTACGAAGCCTAGTGGTAGCTAAGAAAGTAACCTACTTAGGCTAGCGTGTCATGTGTAATGTTAAAGGGATGTCAGCCTATGACGGTCAGATTACTGTCATAACTCATAAGGGTCAAATGTCAGTCATTACGCACCCCCAACTATAGAGTAGATTTTCCAGAACACGGATTTAGGGAATTTATTCGCGGGTAATCGTTTCCACCCCCATTTGCACGGGCTGGCAACGAGATCCACCTATACGTGGTGCCGGCTACGAACCCTCTGACAAAGATTCTTATGCCTTCGGGAGTCTACTTTACACCTGTTTAATAGCTGCTACGCGTTAATTAGATCTCGACTTATTAGCTATAATAGATATAAATTTATAATTCGATATATTAGAGAAGCTAAGAGATCTTAAAAAAGTATATATTTATATATAGATATATAATCGAATTCTTTAATTACGATAACGATTAATTATATATAAATAAAAATTAAATAATAAGATATATTAAATCGAGAGTTAACGCGTTTCTTTTAAAGAATTCGATATTATCGATATAATAATAAGTTTTATCTCTCTTAATTAACTTATATCTTTCTTTCTCGCTAATTAATAACTTTTCTCTAAATATTATAAATATTTAGCTTCGACTATAGACGAGTCGACTCGTTTATAAAAATTATATAAAGATTTTTTATAGAAAAGAGATTAGATAAGAGAGCTAAATCTAATATACTTAAAAAATATTTTCTTAATAGCGAAGTTAGCGAGTAATAAATAATAATAATATATCTCTTAATTAGCTATTAACGTATAAATAAATCTTAATTAGATTTTATATTTCTATAAGAATCGAAGCGAGCTCTTAACTTCGATTTAATAAATATTACTATTCTCTCTCTTATATAATAACTAGTATATATAAAAGAATAAGATAGAATTAAGCTTGAAAATCTTAAATTTATATATATAGTTAATTATAAATTTAGAGTTACTACGCTCTTTAATTAGATCGACTAAGTTATCGCGAGTAAATAAATTAGCGTTCGTAATTATTAAAAAAATAGGATAGTCGAATAGCCCTAATTAAAAAATAGATATATATTATTTAATTTCAGAATAACTTTTTTATTTTCTATTAAAAGTCTAAGATTTATTTTTAAATTATAGAACGAAATATAGGCTTTTAGATAGAAAAAGAATTTTCAAATTTAGTCTTATAATTATTAAAGCGCAAGGAATTCAAAATATCGCTTATCAAAGTTCGCTCGACAGCCGGACAGCCCTAATTAAAAAACAGGTACACATTATTTGATTTTAGAATAACTTTTTTATTTTCTATTAAAATTTTAAGATTTCTTTTTTAAATTATAGAATAAAATATGAGCTTTTAGAATTTTTATTTTTTTTAAATTTAGTCTTATAATTATTAAAGCGTAAGGAATTCAAATATCGCTTATCAAAGTTCGCTTACTAAAGATCGCTCACCTATTTACTCGATAGCCCTAATCAAAAAAAAAATTATAAATTTAATTTATAGGCCTTTACTCATATATAATAAAATACTAAGTATCTAAGTATATATAGAATAGAGAGACTAGAGCTCGACTCTAAGAAACGAGGAAAAAGCTTTAGAGTATATTATAGAGTATAATAATATCTAATTATAATAAAGGCTTTAAAATTTCTTAATATAATATATATAGCCGTAGTTTTATTATAATTATCTATCGTATCTTAAATAAAATACGAATATCGAATATAGTCGTAAGATCGAGTGAGTAAAAATAATTATATTCTAGACTACGTCTTTTAATAGAAAGGGGTATAAATAGAAGTACGGCTCTTCGATATAGGAATTACACACATATATATATACTTTTATTTATACGTTACCCTTATTTACACGCTCTTAAATTCGATAAATTCGATATAGATAGCTATTACTACTATAACTATTACTACTACTTATTTAAATAGTCTACTATTATAATCTATTATGATAATTAATATATAACTCTTAAAGTCTTAAGCTTATTTAGAAGCGACTAGATAATATAGCTACTAAGGAAATTTAAGAAGTAATTTCGAAGTATATATTATCTTAAACTACTTAGTTTTATAAGAAAACGTATAATACTAGAAAATGCGAAATCTTAAATTTAATAAGTCCGATTTAATACTTAAATATCTACTTCTTATTAAAATTCTATAGTAACTCCGTATAATAAGAATTAATAACTCTAGTTTTTTCTTACTATTAAGGCTTCTATATCGAGAAATTTAAATTATTATTTTTTAAATCTTATCGATCTATTAACGCGTAAAAATCGTATTTCTTTTACTCTATTAGATATATTACTACGAAGATACTACTTAGTTTTATAAGAAAACGCGAAATACTAGAAAATGCGAAATTTTTAAATTCGATAAATTCGACTTATATGACTACTACTATTACGGCGTATATAATTATTACTATTACTTATTTAAATAGCTTACTATTATAGTCTATTATAGTCTATTATAATAACTAATACTACGATATTATAATCGCCGTCTATAGATCTAGTATAGTAGATATCTTAGTCTTAAACTTAGATATAATCTATTTTTATTCTAACGATATATATATCTAAGTTAGTATTTAATATTTCGAAGACTTTATTATAGACTTTATCGTAGTAATAATAATAAGATGAAAGAGATAGACGAGATAAGATAGTAGAAGAAGAGGTAGTAGAAGAAGAGGTATAATTTTCACGAAGTGGTAGATCGATAAGGTCTAAAAAACGATGAATTAAATTCTTCGATATAGAAGCCTTAATAGCAAGGAAGAATTAGATTTTTTTTATCCTTATTATACGAAGCTACTATAGAATTTTAGTAAGAAATAAGCATTTAAGTATTAAATCGAACTTATCGAATTTAAAAATTTCGCATTTTCTAGTATTTCGCGTTTTCTTATAAAACTAAGTATAGTAAAGACTATAACGAAGCTCTTAGTAAAGCGAATAATAGTAATCTTAGTAAATCTAATATAGAAGATATAGTAGCTATTTAAATACGTAAGTAATAGTAATAGCCCGCTATATCGAATTTATCGAATTTAAAAATTTCGTATTTTCTAGTATTATACGTTTTCTTATAAAACTAAATAGCTATTTTTAAAGATACGAAGAGAGATAGAAGTTCTATTAAGAAAAAGGCTACTATATCTCTCGTATTAGATCTACTAATATTACTAAATCTCGCTTTATTATAGTAATAATAGCGAGATAGATAATAAGCTACTTCGCTATAGTAGCGAGCTCTATCGACTCTATTAAAGACTTTATTAAAGGCTTTATCGTAGTAAGATGAAAAAGATGAAAAAGATAAAAGAGGTAAAAGAGGTGAAAGAGGTAAGAAGATAGTAGAAGAGAAGATATATTAGAAACTTAATGATATATATAGTAACTCTATATTGTAGTATAAAGAGAATACTATCTATATAGAATTATTATAAGTATAGATTTTATAGTAAGATAGAAAGATCGAAAGGCCTTAATATATTAAGTCTAATTAGGCTATAATATAAATAAGATTATTAAAATCGTAATATTATTTCTCTCTTTAATTCGAAGCTTTAGCGATAACTATTATATAGTAAATATCGATTTTATAGAAAGTATATCTAGATATATACGAAGTAATATTCTTAAATATATTAACTTAATATTTCGTAACGAGTTTAAGATCTTTTTATAAATTAATATAGCTATTATAGATTAATAGCGCTAATAGAGAAGACTATTTTATAGATCTTTTAAATAATAAATAAGGGCTAACGGCCTCGAGATAATAATAATAGAAGTCTACTATTAGATTCGAATATTCTATTATATTTATAAATAGTTACTAGAATAAATTTTCCTCGCTCTTAAAACCTCTATATTTAATTTTATATATTAAATATCTTCTCTTACTAGTTAAGAAATTTTATTTTTATTTATTTAATTTAGATTAAACTATTTTTTTAATATTATAAATTTTATTTTCTTTATTAATGTTAATAAATAGCTGCGAAGACTTAATTTATTTTAATAGTAAGTTACTATTATTAAGATATAATAATTATAAATAAAAGATAAAGTAAATATTATTTATAGAAGTTAAAAGTTCTAATTTATAAGCGAAATTATTTAAAGCTTTAGTAATTTTAAATAATCTAAAATTCTTATAATCTAGTAATTTATTAAGGCGTATAATTTTAATATTTCTTTTATTAAGTATAATTATATCTCTAATTTTAAATTTTAATATCGAAAGTCGATAATAGTTAGCTTACTTCTTTTATAAAGTTTATAATTATTCGAGTTAACTTCTTA